CCAATCTCGCATCGCCTCGAACTCAAACAGAATGGTATATTTTTTTTGATATATTATTTGGGATTAAAATTGGGCTAAAAGGGCTATAAAAGATTGTTTTATTCTTGGTATCCTGTAGGGTAATTTAATACCAAATTTGATACCAAAATATTGGATAGCGAGAAAAGCTTAAATTTAGGCTAGAGTTTAAAATTCAATAGAGGATTCATATAGCTAGAAGGTTTTTAAATGAGTTTGAGACGCATTTTGATAACTATCATTATTAGACTCCCAGGTAAAAATAAATCAGTCTGCACGCCCTCCCTGCTACTTTAATAGTTCTGATTAAAACAAAGAATAGAAGATTAATAAGCATCAATAGATACTTTAAAAGAAAAATAAATTTAATAAAAAAATTTTTAATACTATAATTATAATATATTGATAAAAAATCTATCTCATTATGTTAGAAATTGGTAGAATTTACTTTGAAAATATTAGAAATTATTTAATAAACTATACTTTAGCACTAATTAATTTTGATAATGCCAAAATTAATTATGTTAATTTGATATTTATTAATAAAATAATTATGTTTATTAAAATATAATTTAATTAGTAATTTATTAATTCATATTAAAATATATGATAAATAATATTTTTCTAGCAAAAGTTTATAGTAATATCAAAGAATCTATAATATAATAATTGTTTTTATGTGTAATAATAACGTTTAGACTACTAATTTATATATGTATAATAGTAATATTTAGATTACCTGTATAAATAAACTGATTAAATTATATAATATTATATGAGATTTCAAAAAAGGAAATTTTATCTCCCAATAAAATTTGAGTTTGATTCTAAAATTAATTACACAAATTTTCTTTATAGAAATTTATGTAATGTTATATAATCTACTTTGTTGTAAAGCAACAGATTAGTAGCTAATATCTTAATAAAAAAATAAAATAGTAATTAACAAGAATTATTAAAGTGATAAAAAACTTTTTAAAGAATTTATGATAAAATAAATTACTAATTTAAAAAGAAGTATTAATAGAATAATACAATTTATTATATTTTTACCAGTTAATATGAATTATAAATCAGTCTAATATAATTTTTGATTGGTCTAAAAAATGATAGTAAATTAAAAATTCTTAAAATATAACATCTTTAGAAAATTAGATATTAATTAATAATAAAAATTTAAATTATGAGTTATAGGATTAATTTGTGTAATACTTATTAATATTTTCAAAATAGATTACATTAAAATGCTTATTAAGAGAAAAAAGCTAAAGATTTACTCAAAAGATTTAAAAAATATTTATTTAAAATAAAGTTAGAATAAAATTATTATATTAAAAATATTAAATTGATAAAAGAATAAAAAACTAGTTAATCAAAATCATTTTAAAGTAAAACATAGTATTGTATAAAGATAATTATAATTAGTTGTAACTACTTGATGTTTATTTATCACTAGTTGTAACTAGTTGTATTTAATTTTTATTAATATTGCAACTAGTTGCAATTCTGTAATACTTATTTATTATTAATTACAATTAGTTATAGTACTATTTAGTATTGCAATATTAATATCACTATTTATTAATTATAATTGAACCTAAAATATTTATTATTACATTTAGATTAACAAGTAAGTAAACCTATTATCTTAATCTATGTAAATTTTATTTATTTAGTATTCAAATGAAATAATAAGAAAATAAATTAATTATATATTTGATAAAAATGTAATTATAAAAAAAGATCAAATAATACACTTAGTATAATTTTTAATAGTATTAAGAAATTGAATAAAGATAAAAAGTATTTAAAGTTTATTTATAATAATACTTATATATAGAATAAAAATAATATTACTATTTAGTTTTACTTATATTTAGTAATTTATAGATATTATGAAAATATTAAATTAAATTTCATAATTTTAGAATATATTAAATTCAAATATAATATAATTTTAAAATAATTAAAAATTTTATAAAAGAATAGAATAGATTATCTGAATCATATAGTTAAAGTATAAAAAAGTCTAATTTAGCTGAATTAAATAAAATTCAATATTATAAGGTGAAAAAGGTTTTCAATGCTTAGATATTAAAGCTATTTTAAAAATTTATTTTAAGAAATTATTTAAACATATAGAAATATTAATATTTTCTTTTAAAGTATCTAATCTTGATATAGTAAAAGTTTAAGAAGTTGCCAATGTGTCTTTTATTGAATTCAATTTATTAAAAATTAAGAAAGTAGATATTTTTAAAAAAAATTAAATCTTTATTTATTTTAATATTGATACTACCTCCTTTGGACTACAAAAGATAAGAATATTTTTATTATAATATTTATCTATTTATGAAAGATAAATATAAAAATATTATTTATTTCAAGTCAAAATATTATTTTTCTTAATTATAATTATCTTAATAATTAAAAAACTAAGAAATATAACAATATTTCACAATCAATCATTTAGTAAATTTTTTCTCTTATTTTTGTTGAGTTGGTTTTCTATTCAATTTTATTTCATTTTTAATAGTAAGTCTTAAAATCTTTTAATTTTTCTACTATTTCTTTCATTTTTCATGATTTTATCAAATGTTTTGTCTTTTTTAATTGACCTATAATTCTTTTAATACTTTATAATTGGAGTTTAGAAAAATTAAGTTTATTAAGAAGTTTTTAAATAATCCAATTTTAAATTAAAGTTTTAAAAAATTTATTATATATATTTGCGAACTAATTGCATCACTTTACTACTAATAAAAGTTAAAAATTATAATAATTAAAGTTTATTTTCATGATAAATTTTATGATATTCTATTATGATTAATATTACGTTTTTACTAAATAAATTTGGAAAGATATTAAAAATGTTATTTGTCACCCCCTTATGTTCACATAGTTGTTCAACACCCCGTGTACAAATAGCAATTCTCTAATCGAATTTCACGTCACGTGAATTAAAATTTTGGCTCGATTTATTCATTATCGAATTATTTATGATTTGGTACCTTTTTTTTTGCTCCTTTTTCGATCCAAATTCAAAAACTTTGCTCGTCATTTCTAAATATTTCAATTTACTTCGGTTTTTGACACGTTATTTCAATGTCGAGAAGAACCAATAACCATAAAAGACGTAGAAATGTTACGGACGACAATATAGAGGTTGGTCAAGAAATTGCTGTTGAATTGGATTCAGGTAAATAGACCTTGTTTTATAGGTATATAACGCTTCAAATTTTTAACGACACGTCTTATTTTATAGACGTTTTTATAAATCAAACGTTTTTCTTATATCGGTGTACACCTTTTTACAAATTCGAACATACCGATTTTACTCTATATGGAAAAGAATTACATAATTTCATCACTGGTCAAATGTTAAATACAATTCCATCATTAGATCATGAGATTAGAGAAGAGAATGATTTTACATCAGAAGGAAAAGTTGTAGAAATATTCATATCAAAGATAAAATTATCTGATTGGAATGGTACGAAACATATTATTTTAACGATAATATGAAAACAGGTGGTAGTTTCGATGAACCTTTGTATTTTTTTTTCTAGGTACTAATGGTATGCCAATTGGAATTGAGATAAAGTTCAAGCCGAAAGGTAAGAAACGTAAACGAAAATTTAACATATTTACGCGAATTCACGTGTTTTTTTAAATCCTATATCTTTAAGGGACCGCAAAGGAGCAGATATTTCACATAGTGTTCTTGCCAAGTATTGTTAGTCGTGATTTCATAAATAAAAATTGTACGGATTTCTATCTAAAATGAAGAGAGAATTTTCTAGTCCGAGATTATCTAATTTTATTCTTTTTTTCTAGCACCATTTAGTCATTATCCTGTTATTCTAATAAAGGCTCCTCAGCGACTCGCGAATATTGCGATCGAATGGTTTGAAACCCGATTTGATTGCAGAATATGCAGATATCGTCTACAGTCGTCATGTCTAAAAATATTTATAGAAGAATGGGCAAACATAAGTTTTACTTGCGATGACTTTATTCAAAGTACGATTAATTTAAATTATTAGTAATTTCTTCTCGCTTAACAAATTTTATTCTTGTCATGTAGATTTATTGAATACACGATTAATCGCAAAACCACTTGAACTCACATACACCATCCCAAATATTTCGGAGATCAAAAATATAAAGCTGAGGATGTCCATTGTTGATGTCAAACATCTTTACGATAGGTAATTTTATTTTCACAAAAAAAAATTTTCTTTAATTAATTTTTTTTTTCCTAATTGTTCCAGTTAATTAACCCAAAATTTCTGTGATAGATTAAAAGAGCAACCTACAGAATCACAGCGTAAGTAAATTTTTAGTATTAGGTCTGATTTTATTATATATCACTTAATTAAGCATTTAATGACGTCAGGTATAATGGAAGGAATTGAAAAATATTTCTTTGAAAATCTACGTATTAATCTCTCCTCGTTGGCACTCTCTAAGATTGGCAACAATGCAGCATTAATCGCTGGCGAAGGAAAATTGAAGGTAAATTTTCACTTGTCATTTCTTATCATTAATTAGATAATTAATTGATTTTAATTTAGATACTCAAAGGATCATTATTCTCTACATCGATCGCATCACTTTTAAAACAGTTAGTTATCTTTACTCAATAAAAATACAACTTAATTCAAATGTTTAATCAAAGATGATTTTTGAATAGATTCTGTTTCTAAACGAATAAATTAACTGAATAATGTATAAGTTGATGGGTGATATGTAGTCATTTATGCCAACGTTAAAATTTTTACAATAATGGTTGGTTATTTTGATGAGTCAATTATCAAATTATTTGAAATATAGATTTAATTACGCAGACAGTATTAACTTGCGTACCAACTTGTTTTACTGACATTACTAACAGATAAAGATAAAAATGATAATTTTGCAAATATAATTATGAAATTTTCTAATCAAAACTAGCCGGCTAAGCTTTTTTTTTGTATTACTTGAAATGTACGAAAAAATTTTCATCCAATCAAATTTAGGAAAGCCTGTGGTAAACGTCAAACAAAAGGTTGTGTAATGATAATATAATTCAAAATTTAGAATCAATTTGAATATCTCGAATTTAAATCGATATCGAGATGTTTTAATTGAAGCCTTTTTCAAGCGGCATTAATAATCATTAATAATAATGCCAGTAAAAAAAGCATGCTAAATTTGGGTTATTTGATATTTGATCATACGTCATTTTTATAACCAATAGATTGTTCGCGTTTTATTTATGACAAATATAAACAGACTCGAACAAAGAAACTTCGTTTAAAAGGCTTATTTCGGAACAAAGTTAGCATTTTAAACTCTTTTTCGTAAACAAAATGATGGAAAAAGAAATACAGGTAAAAACAAAAAAGGTGAAATATATATATATATATATTTTTATTTCATTAACCAAATATATATGGTGTTTTAGGTTGAAAGCGCTTCTCAACTAGATTATGAGATAAAGCAAATGGTTGAAAGGTTTCAAGAAAAAGAAACTGAACACACTTGGTCGGGGTTTGATGCTGCTTTAACTCGTTTAATTGCTATAACTCGAGGCAGTGCTATTCTTTATGAGAAAAACTATATATCAGGAATAAAAACTTTGAGACAACCAATAATAAATTCGGTAAATAAAAGAGTTAATAATAATAATAATAAATAAAATTAATTGATTCAAAAATTTTAAAAATTTTAATTTAACCTGATAATAATAGATATTAACAGAAAGAACGAAACTTTCCGGAACGGCGACAGAATTGATAGAAGAAATGGCTAAAACACTTGGATTTAAATTTGATGCATTGTCAGAAATTTTTGTACCATCTATTATTAAATTATGCATGCGTACAAAAAAAACCACTCTTATTCGAGCTCAAAAATGCGTGAAAACGATAATTCGAGAATGTCGACTACCAAACCTTATCCCGAAATTTAAAGAAGCACTGCAAAATCAAAGTAAAACCTTAAGGAATTGTGCGGCTGAATGGATCCAGATAAGTTTGGAAGCGAATGAGGTTGGAGATTTGAATAATTATATTGCTGATATCGAATGGTCCATCCGGCAATGTGCATCTGATCCATCAGCAGATGTTAGAGCTATTTCAAAGCAGATTTTTGAAATTTATAAATCGAAATTTGATTTAAGATTAGATACGTAAGTTACAAAGTTTAATTGGTTTGGTGATTCTTTATTTAATCAAAAATTAAATATGAGCATATACTTATTCATATTATATATTTTTTTAGTTTCGTCGCGACTATAAAAAAGGACCCTATTATTTCAAAAATTTTAGGCATTAAAGATAAACCAACAAAAACAAACGCCCTACCACTCATAAAAACGTTGAAAACCCGCAAGATGAATCACGTTCGAGAAATGCAAAGTGACGTTATTATATTTACTAAAAATGGAGATAATGTGCAAATAATTAACGATAGTGAAGACAAGGTGCAGATAATTAAAGACAAAAGATTGCCTTTAAATAATGATAATTCTAACTCATCTGTGGATAAGCCAGTTATTACCGAAGAACCGTCTTCACTTGATGAGCCGCAAGATGCTGCTGTTGCTTTAACCACATCTACTGGGTTTGCCACGTTAAAGCGACCAAAGTTGTCATCATCAAAATCTCAACCCGTTAACACTACTGCTCAAAGAGTACCAGCTAAGCCGACAAGGGCTCAGGTGGTTAATACATCTTCGATTAATCGTGACGTAGGCACTGGAACTGGTGAGTGTGTTAGTAAACCCTCACAACCATAATTTCTTATTTATATATTTAAATCCTTTATCCTACAAAAACATGGATATTTTTAATTTGTATACTTATAAACTATAAACATTTGCGCGGCATTGCAAAGGAGGAGCTCAACGCATTCGATCTAGAGAGCATACTATAACGATCACCGAAGATAAAAATAAGGCTAGTCGTATTCTAAATACAAGCAAGACCAATAACATTAAACCGTCAAGACCACCTATTATTCGTACAACGAGTGCACCGGCTGATAGTCCTGCTAAAAAAAAGCCATCTCATAAATTCAACAATATTAAATCAAAGACAGTTCCTATCATAGGTCATAAATCTTCGAGAGAAACAGAATCAGTATCGAATTCAGTTTTTAGACCTTTGAAGGTGACAGCAACTGCTACTTCATTGACAGAAGGGTTATTAACGACCGCCAATTTAACTATAACAATATCAACTGCATCTAAACAATCTAACCGTAACAAAATTGGAAAACCAACGCCTACAAATGCACGACTATTTGGTAGACCCAGGGAACGTCAACGCCAATTTTCTCCTTATCAAAAACCTGCTATAGATTTCGCAACTAGAAAATTTGGAAAAAAGCCACTACCAGACCGTGAAGAGTTAACTGCAAAAGTGAATGCATTAGCCAATCACGCCATTGAAGTAGTAACAAGGCAAGTGGAAGTAGAATCATCTGGAAATCTGAAAGTTGAGATAGTCGCAGTAGAAGAACCAGCGATTGAGGAACAAGATATTGAAAATTCTAATACCTTAAGAGCGAGACCATCAATTAAATATCAACTACCAGCAACTCAAGACATTACACCACTTCCTACTGAACCTTCTCCTCCTCTTTCATTCGTTAATCCTGTTAAATTTCTGGAGGATGTTCAAAAAGCTGAAACGAATGGATTTACCAAGGGGGAGAATGTTGAACAACCAGAAGTTGATAAGAGTAAATTACAATAAAGGCAGGCTTTTTATACGTTCGTTTTATTTCTAGAGGAACATTTAAAAAGTACAATAAAAGTGCGGGTTTTTATATATTCTCTCAAATACTCTGCGCAGTTCAATAATTACCGAATGTTAAGAATTATATTGTAAAAAAAAATTTTTGAGTCCTTAGAAGAAATATTATCTAGAATATCTATAATCTAGTAACACGATAACTAACTCGATTATTATTATTGTGAAATTTTTGTTATAACCCGCAATGAACGCTTATATACAAATAAGATCTAGCTTCTAACTATATCAATGGCATGAGGAAGAATATTATAAAATTTAGTATTTAAAACTTTTTGCCCTTAAAATTCAACGGGATCATGTTAAATTTCCTTCTTAACTTTAGCCTTGCACAATTTCTATGATGAAGATCTTCACCTTTACGTTAAAGAAACACATTCTTGTGCAATTCTAAATACAGATAATTACTGTCGACTCGCTCTAAACGAAGTCAGTGGTTTAGCCATTTGGACCTTCGTTATAAAAAAATTCGTCGTATGTCATATAACGGATTTTTTCCATTTTTGTCATAAAATAAATATTTGTTATCGGTCACACCCTCTACTTTTTCATTTTTACCGGCACTTGGTATTCAAAAATCCTTTTATTTGTCTCAGTTTAATTTCGGCCAAGTTATATAATGCCGGCCAAAAAATCACTTGGGATCCGCGTTTCCACTTTTCATAAGTATTCCGGAAGCATCCTTAGCCTAAGGTGGGGGTGTAGACCAGGGACGATGATTTTTTGTGGTGATATAAAGTAAATTTTGTGTGTGATAAAAATAAATTCTGTGAAATTTTGTGATTTGGCCGGATTTAAGCAAGGTTGGCCAACATTACGACTCGTAAATTCTGCCCAAATTTAGTGTTTACCGGAATTACAATGATTGTCAAATCCTAAATTAGGCCAAAAATTTGAACCAAATTTTGTGATTTTCTGTGAAATTCTGTGATCACAATAAATCATTGTCCCTGAATTATATAGAAGTAGTTTAATTCAATAGTATAATAGGTTAAAATAAAGCATATAAAATTTGATTTTATTAAGAATTATGAAAATTTTATATAGTTATCCATTTTTATCCATTTCTTTAATGTTTAATTGCTAAAAAATCAGTTATTGAAGTCTGCTTTTTAGCTTGCAATTCAAGTTGTCATACTATATTTAGATATTTTTTAAAAATATCTAAATCTTCTGTTTTAAATTCATTTGTTGTTTGTTATTTAGAAAAAGTTATCCAATTCTATAAAGATTTGATTACATTAATGAAAGATACTGGTAACGATTCATTGAAATCCTCTTCAGAATCATTATTTTTATCATCATCTACCCTTCCTTGAACTAATTTTATGATCTCATTATCATTTAAAAGATCCTTGGTTAGAATTTCTTCTAAATTTGAAAGAAATCATTAATTGCATTTTTTAATGGAGAAGCACAAGAGTCATCAAGTTCATCAATTATTTAATCGATTTTTGCTGTTTCCATATCCATTGTCTCTTGATGAACCTGTATTGCATTATCTATATTTTCATTAGTTGAAGAAAGCAATATTCTGGTTTTATTCCAACAATTACAGATTATTTCTTCAGTTACATTATACCATGTAGTTGCTAAATATTCAATAGCTTCTTTGATATTAATTTTTTCTTTATTGATATCTTTACCTTTTTCAAAGAGTTGCAACATATAATGACAATAATATCGTTTATAATGATTTTTAAAACTTGCAATAATTCTGGCATCAAAAGGTTGAAGGTGGCTTGTGATATTTGGTGGTAAAAAGATCATTTTAACATATATAAGCTGAAGTTAATGAGTATCTGATAGAGTAGAATTGTGTCTTCTTGATCTTGAAACTTAATTTCCTTTAAAAAAAATACTAATTCAGTAAGTTTTTGTAGTTTACTTTTAAATTTAAAAAAAAAATTAAATTTAACTTACCACGTCCTTTTAAAGTAGAATCTGAAATAAAATCTGAATCTGAACCCAAACCTAAAGTATTATCTTTATCTTGCAAATGATAATTCAAGTCAAAATGTGATGAAGTATTATTAATTAAAAGCAAAATCTTTTTATTTTGTGCTCTAAAATGCCTATCTATATCAAGAAGTATTTCTTCAAATAATCTTGAATTCATCTATGTCTTAGGATTTTCACAATAATAAACTGGAAGACAGTCTAAATTAACATGTAAGAGAGGTTTTAGATGCTTTGATATACTAATTACCTATGGCTTGAGTTTGTCAGTTCTCGTAATATTTACACTTAAAAAGACAGTAATTCACATTTTGTCCTTTTTTTGATCAAGAATTAGTTTAGTAGAAAGTGTCTGATTCAGAGATATTCTATAATAAAGACCTGTTTTATCAATATTATATATTTGGTCTAGAAAATATTAGCTTAATAATTGACAGAGCTTAATTCTCTCTTTTGAAAGGGATTGCTATCAGTGCGCTTCCTGATTTCTCATGTATGTATGTCAACAAATATTATTCCTTTTTTTTAAATTTATCTAACCAACTATTAGAAAAAACTAACTCATCTTCTTATATATTAAATGCTTTAGTAAAAAATTTTGTCTTTTCCTTTATTAATAAATCTGTTAAAATGACATCACCTGCTGTTACATTTTCTATCCATAAGTTTATAGCATTATCAAAAAATGGAAATTTGACCTCTTTATTTTTGAAGATTTCTTTAGAACTTTCAATTTCTATTGCAGCACTCTATTTTTCATTATTTGTTAATATTTTTGTTATGATACTACGATCGATATTTAAAGTCAGATTTTTTTTATTAAATGTTTTGCAATTTCATGATGTTTTTTATTACTATTTTTTTTGCCTACTCACAAATTTCATGTTTAAGACTGACACTTATAGCAGAATATTGCTTAAGTTGGTCAGAAGGTTGTCTGAATCAGTTGGGAGGTATTTATAAACTTGTTTAATAAAACAAGATGTTGGAAATTATTTTGAAAAGAAAGGGAACCAGAAAGACACAAAAAAAAATTGTATCACATTATGTGTAAATGTTATTTGCATAAAATTCATATTAATAAAAAGTACCATCATAGAAAGAATGCGGAAACTTTCATTAAAATTATCAGAGTAATAAAAAAATCTTATCTCTATGTTATTCTATTTTCTAGTATTATATTTTTAAGTATACATTTCATGTTGCTGTAAATTACCAGCCAATTAGATCTTTTCAATATATGCCAATCAGAAAATTGTGACTATAAAGAGGTTTAATTACTATAAAAAATGATGTGTAGTTTTATATCATGTGGTGATAATAACTATAACTAATTTATGACTATATAGAGAAAAATTAATAAGTTTAAAGTTCGTTTTACAAAAATAAATTCTTATATAAAGGTGTGACTATATAAGGTATAACTGTATAGGGATAAGTTTTTTTTGCTTAAGTAACTCATCATATGTTTTATTTAATAATAAATCTTCTAAAATGAAAAAAAAAGTTTAAATATTTTTTTCACATTTTTCCTTTAAAACGCTACATTAAATACTGCAAAATTCATTTTAAGTTAAGTATTTTTTATTCTTTTTCTTTGAAAACATTGCAAAAATTCTAATATATATGTAATACAACCAAATTGAACTAATAAAAGTCATTAAATTTTATAATATATCACAGTTTAGAATAAAGGTTTACATTTTAACTCTAGATTAAAAATACTTATATTCTAAGAACTTTACCTTCATGTGATCAGTAACAAATAGAGGCATGAAAAAATATTTTTCACTATTTAAAAAATCCAAAGTTTCTAATATACTTATAAAAAGTAAAAATGCAGAGAGTATAATATAGAATAACAAATATAAGGTAAAAATTTTTATGATGATACTGAGTAAGATCCTTATATGTTACTGATTACGTGAAATAAAATTTTTTACTTATAAAATTCTAGTAATATTAGGTTAATTTAAAGAAACTCTAATAATTATTTAATTAATTTCAATATGATATATTATTTAATAATTAATAATTTTTTTAATTAATAAAACTCTTATAAGTTTATTATATTAAAAATTCTATAATTTCAAAAAATAGTAATCAATTTATTATATATTTTTTTTTACTTATATATTATATACTAAGTATAAGTTATATTTTAAATTTTTATTCATAATAGTTTTATTATATACTATTTCTATATTTTTATTATCACTATATTTTAAAATAATATATCAAAATTTATAAATATTATATATAGATAAGAATTTATTTAAATTTTAGTATAATTATATTAAAAGATAACATTTATAATTATAATCTTTTTAATTAGTTATTTTTAAACTATATTTAAATCAATATCTATCTTATAAATTTATAAAGTAAATAAATTATATTTATAAAAATTTTGAAATTCAAATAATTATTTTTATAAAATTTTCATTAATTATAATTATATAAATAAAAATTGATAAATTAAATTAAAATATTATTTGCAAAGTTACTATACTATTTTATAAATAATATCATAAATATTTTTATAATATAATTTGCTTTTTAAAATCTTTGTTATTTATCTTATAAATATTTTAAATATTTGGCTTTGTTATAATTTTTTTTCTAATTTAATTTTATGTATTTTATTTTTTCAATCTACTTTTAGAATATTATATGTATAAAACTATAATTACTATATATAGAATAAATAAAAAAAACTTAATAAATTTAACTTTTAATACTAAAAATTCAAAGTAATTTATATATTAGCATTTAGAATAAAATTGGTAAAATCATAAAAATAATAAAAATTAAAATTTTTTATTAAACAAATTTTATTAAAATTTTTTCTGCACTTTTTTTTTTATATAAAGTTATAAATCTACCAAAAATCTTTAAAACTATTGATATTTACTAATATTTTTATAAAAAAAAATATTAAAAAACAAATAAATTTTAAATTATAAAATTATTATTATATATAA